CTCCCTAATAAGAGCATCACTAAACATGACTTACAATTCATTTAACATACAATACTCACTTAAAGATTTTTTGAAGATTTGTAACATTTAATTTAAAAAAGCAATCATTCCCACCAAAACATGAATTGTATTTAAATGATCATCACTAATTTTATTTGCACTCAATTTTGTGCATTCAGCCAATATATTACAGGGTGTCCGCGGGTCCTTAAAAAGTCTTAAAATGTCTTAAATAACGTTTTCCTAATATAAGGCCTTAAAAAGTCTTAAAATGTCTTAAATAACGTTTTCCTAATATAAGGCCTTAAAAAGTCTTAAAATGTCTTAAATTCGGATTCGATGGGCCTTAATTATTTTTGGTCTCATTACCGCTCAAATATCTTCAGTCTGACGGACCTGATGACTTTACAATCATTGGACAGACCCGCGGTATGTTACTGCGTCATCAGAGAGAACTGCAGTAAGTTAGCAGAATACAGAACACAAGCTCGCGCTGAGGCTTACTGTTTGTCTCGAGACTTCAGAACAAATGAGCGTGACCGCACACATAAACTCAGAAGAAACACACTGAGGTAAAAATTCAAAATGTTTCGTTTATTCAGTAAGTTAGCAGAATACAGAATACAAGCTCACGCTGAGGCTCACTCTGTTTGTCTCGAGACTTCAGAACAAATGAGCGTGACCGCACACATAAACTCAGAAGAAACACACTGAGGTAAAAATTCTAAATGTTTCGTTTATTCATAACATGATATAGTTAAGTAACACCATGACAAGTGAGCTATTTTACTCAATATTCTCACGACGCAAAAAAAACATTTAAAACACCTAATTTACAGAGTGCACACATTACGTGTCTAGCGCTCTGCCTGATCACTGCATGATTCAGTCTATTAAAATACATTCAGAATGATCACAAATTCAAGACATGGGGGCAGAAAATGTGTATATTTATACTCAAGTTCACACGGAAGAGTGCCTTTTTTTCTCCAAAAATTACCATATACAAATGTGATATTGATTTTTTACAACAATAAACTGGAAGTTTTATTAAGAGACTTATGTTTTAGATACCCTATTGCCTGTTTTTGCACTATTTCGTCAACAAAAATAATTCCAAACAAAGCCACAGCGCTGTTTTGCGTCTCTGAGCAACATGATGGTGTTTCATTCCTGAATGAATCACTCTTTAAATGATTGGTCTGGATTGCAAAGATGAATTTTGTTGATACTGATTTCATTTGCTTGGTAAAAGCCCAACTGTCTTATTCTTATTCACTGATTAAATGTGAGAATTTGACTCAAAAGATAATGCACACTTATAGAAAAATGGCTTTATAAAGGTAAAATGCCCATAAAAGGTAAAAATCTATTTAAACTTATCTGACCACCACACAGAATATGAAGAATATCAAAAACTTTAGGAGTCAGCTGTCCACGAAAGTCCTTAAGATACCAGCATGATAGCATACTCAATCAGTTGAATGAATGACTCGGTGACTCACTCATTAAGTGACTACTTACGGGTAGTTCAGTTGAGAAGTATGTTGAAAAGTATGCATTTTTCCCCTCAACATTTCTTATTTGTATATTCATAAATGCATTTAAAACATTAATCTCATAACATTGTTTATTGCAGTTGTAATTATTGTTATTTGCAGTGTAAATTATTTAACCTGACTGGTAGCAGCCCTATAGTGTATATTGAATTTATTGATCAATTGTAATAATTTGACATGTAAGATGATGCATACATCTAAAAAGGTTAAAAATAGGCCTTTGTAAAGGTTAATATGCAGATTTAAGTATGTAAAAGCTGATAAAATACTGATGAAAATATTGCTTCAGAATAAATAGTTTACTCCACCAAAAATCTCAGTGATGCAGTTATTTTGTGGGGATATTTTGTATGGAATATTGTCTGCTGACATGAAAAGTTCACTGTATATCCATTCATCCAAAATATGCTTCCTCATATTTGATGGCAAACTTTTTGATATTTACCTGATGAAAGTTAAAACTGAAGCTGAAATGTGTGTGCTTGATGCCTGAAAACAAACCTCATTGGCTCTCACATGTCACAAGCACTTTTGAACTTCTGCTTAACATATTTAATATGCATATGATAAAATAAAAATGCAAAAATGTAATGAGTACTTTTCATGTTGAAATAGAATTTTAGGAGTTAAAAGTAAAAAAATTTTCACAAATGTAATCAAGTACTAGTCAGTTTAAATTGTACTTGAATAAAGTAATACCACAAAATAATACTTAAGTACAGTAAACAAGTAAAATACTGAAATATTTTACACCCCTGATTATAGCAAAGCCAGAGAGTATGTGAAAAGTAAGTATGAGACCCATGTCTGTGTGTGTACATACAGCAGAGAAGATCTGACACAGAGTGGTGGTTGATGGGAGAAGCCCTGGTGATTACTGATGCATGTTATTGCCAAAGGTCACCAGCAGGCAATTCACACTAACTGATGAACTCCCACTTATTGATCTGTTGAGGCCCTGTGGCGGGAAGATGAGGGAAGCCTCTGAGGACACATGCTGAGCCTTTGGGGATGCAGTTCCACTGTGCAACCACGAGAACATGATGTCATGCTGCTGCGTGTGGTAGCGTATCAAAGCTGCGCTCTTTCACTTTACTAGTGTACATGTAAATAGAAGGGAAAGGGAAATATGGCATGATTACTTATTACAATTTCCCCCCTCAATATTCTAGACTGAATTAAAAGTCGACATATTCAGTGAATGCTGCTAAAATATATATATATTAAAAGTCGACATATTCAGTGAATGCTACTATATATATAGTAGCATTCACTGAATATGTTGACTTTTAATTTAATTAATGACATTTAAGGCAAACATACTGTAAATACCTATAAGACTCTTCTAAAGGTTCTTTTTTGGTCTCTTTGGTTACATGAAGAACCTTTACTATCCATTAGGGTTGTAGATTTTGATGTGAGATTTTCACAGTATGATAACCATCTCAGAAAATATCACAATTTCACGGTTTCACAGTATACCGTATCATTCAATGTGATTTTATTTTGATTCATGTGAACTCAAGTCCTACTACTTAAACTCATTCAACTCTGTATTTTATGGTTTGTTCTTCTTTTTTTCCATAACATTTTGGTTTCTACTATTCCCATTGCTTGCAGACGTTCTATTCACACACGCCTCCTTCGCAATATAGCAACCTAACATTTTTTGACTTGTATGTCAAGTGTTAGTTGAGAAATCTCTTATGGGCGAGTGTTGTATTTCTCTGTAAATGACAAGAACACTGCTTGTTTACTTGCTTGAGAGACTCGAATGTCGTTGATTCATCAATGTTTTGTTTTTTGCACAGAACTCTGACTTTGATTAGCTTCGATTAGTTGTGCTCTTGTAGGTTTCTTTCCATGGTTTCCTTTCCAGTCGTCTATGAGAAAGACTTGCTGTATGCTTTAATGATTAGAAAGATTGATGATTTTTAAGGGAATTATTGGAATTTGAAGTGTCTTTTGACAAGAGAGCTTTAGCATTTGTTCGACTAGATAATTTTGACCTATAATTACAACCCAGAAAAATTTTAACTCCAGTCTGTTCCCACTGATCCTGTCTGAACCAGTTTGGTTTGATTACACAATGTTGGTGTAATCTACATAAAGAATATGGCATGCATGCAGTTGCCTACCACAAAAACAGATTTTTTTGTCATAATTATGCAGCCTTACCATTTTGCTTTGCCAGTGTAACCTTTCCGGTCCTAACCGCCCCACTCCAAGCAGGACTCAAACCCGGGTCGCCTGGATGGGATGCGGGCACACTAAAAAACAACGACGACAAAAAAAATATATATTGTTCATATGGAACCAACATTGAATACAAAGAATTTACATACAAAAACTTGACACATGCTTTAAACTAGATATTTCCTTCATTTTAGAAGATTTGTCCTTTTTTCATCGTGGACCCTCTAATATGTCATTTTCCTTTTATCTGGTTAATGTTTTGGACCAACATAGCTCTTCTGTTTACTAACTGAATTTTACAGGTTTTGTTGAAGCTGGTTGATCAAGGAAGTCCTGCTGGTTTATTTAGTTGGAAGGCTGGTGTGGACGCTAGTGCCGGTGACCAGTAACCATGCTAGTCTTTGCATCAGGTTTGATATTTGCCATCAGAATTCAGTGTTTCTTTCTTAGTGTTTAGGCAAAATCTTTTTTTATGCTGATACAAGCATTTGTCTTCCTAGAAAGTTCTCTTGGTGACTCACCTCACAATTGCATTAGCCGTGTATGGCATTTTACACTTCTGTGTGTGTTCATCTCAGCGCAAGGCAATTACGCCGAGATGAAATATTCGTTGGGTCCCCGGACGCTTTCGATTGCGCCCTCAAGCCCGGCATGAGGGTGTAGATTGCGTCTGCGAAGCGTCCTCTCCTGTGAAACAACATCAATGAGACGTCGTGAAAGTGGCGTGAGATGCCATTCGGGCTTTAACGACAAACATAAAAGAGATACCGGGACCTGTCAGGTCTTTATATCCCCTCTGCCCCCTGGGTAAACCTTCAGGGAAATCAATAGTTTGATATGCAGAGGCATGCTGAAAAATGTATGGGGGTAATAAAGGCATGCACAGATGTGGCATTTAGCCAAATATGCTTGCTGATATATAACCATGCCCGTGTCAGCCTTTGAGCGTAGTGACCGTCTTTCATCGTCGATATGACAAAAAGTCATTGAGGGGGATCCAACGCTGATCTGGCCTTGTTTGTGTTTATGTATGTTCTCTGACATTTACTTTGCGACACGAAAAGTGCCCCTGGTTGTCAGATTATGGATACCGGGGGGCTTTAGAGGGAGAATTCTCATTTTGCCGAAATGAAACTTATGCTGAGACCAGCCTTTTATCATCTAAGTGCTTTTTGGTTGATGCACTTTTTATGCTTGTTGACAGAATTTCTTTTCTCTCTTTTCTCTTTTTTCCTTTCGCTCCAGGCCTCGTGAAGCTGGGAATCCACTGTGTCACATGTCAGAAAGTTGCCATAAAAATTGTAAACCGGGAAAAACTCAGCGAGTCTGTGTTGATGAAGGTAAGATTGTGCTATTCCTTCGATGTACTGCACTGAACTTTAATGGAATTGAAAGTTGTGAATTTAAGATGGCTGTTAGTACCAAATCTGTCAGTTGCATTTAAACTGTAGTGGGTGAGGTTTGAATATTTACATATATTTAGAGTACTCACAAAGCTGATTCTATATGTTTATTTTTGTGTGCGCTCTTTCTGAAATGGAAAGTTAGTGCCATTTCTGTCCTAATTATGCTGAGGTGCTTGCTGCAGCATCAAAACACGAAAAATCCTTTTGAGTACGAACAGGCCGTTGTCACTGTGCTGCTGAACTGCTGTCAGGGGATTGTTAGTGTATTTGAAAGGATTACCCACAATTATTTTACCCATCTTGAGTAGTTGCCTAATGGTTCACAGCAGCATACTACCACTATCAGACTGGACATTGATTAGTAGGAGTTCAGTTAAGGTTATCTCTAATTGTTCATTATCCAGTTTAAATCATGCACAAGTGAGTGTTGCTGTCAGCTCTCCATCTCTGATCCTCTAATTGGGTGCATATTTTGCTGAAAGTGATATGTTTGTCACATCATGCTTAGCTCATGATATGTGAAGTTCCTTCTATGTTTGTTGAAAGCCAAATGTTAGGGAGAAATTCACTAAGAATTTAATGGCATTGGATTAGATGCAAATAATCAGGAAATTTGGGTTGTTCACACTATTCACAAATTAAACGGGCCAAATTGCAACAAGGAACATTTATAAATGGAAACAGCCTTGCTGATTGAGCTCAAGTGTTAGAACATGTCTCAGGACTGATGAAGAATTAGCAATTTGTCTTTGTTAGGTCTAATGAAGTGTAATTTCCAGATCCAGAAGCAACCATATACACTTGATTTGACTGTTAGAAAAGAAGTAGTAAAATATTGCATCTATTGAAATGCAGCATTTATTGAAAATCCTGCATCACTAAATAAAAAACGCCCTCTGGATATGCAAAAAGAAAATTCAAAATCTTCTTCACAAACACTATCTTATTCTTTAAAAAAGAAGCTTATTGTTGTAAGGATGTTTAGCTACTTTCTGGAAAATAAGATAAGTACTGGAAAAAATGCTATTTTTTTAGCTGTACAAATATGGTGGTCACATACCTATGCGTTTATTACAACATTCTGAAAGTCATCAGATGTTCTTTGCTTTATACAGTGAATAATCGAGTCTGTCAAACTACTACTGTGGTATTCATTTTAAGAAAAATAAAACTGACAAGTTGGGCTTAAGAATGTGCTGATGTTGCCAATTTGCTTTATGAATTCAGTGAGCTTTAACATAAAAGCCACCTCAACTTTTGACCCAGTCAACGTAATTTCCTCTCAGTGTCCATCCAGCATCATATGGATTTCATTAAATGGTTAATGGCTCATTAACTCCTGGTGGATTGTGGGGCAGTAGTAATTTAGATGACCTGATTGGTTCCTCTTTGTAATTGGATGTGAGAGTGGGCTATACAGTCATCCGGTCCACATGCAGTCCCCAGACCCCCCTGCTCGCTCATAGGTGTTTGGAGTGCGGGGGAAATTGCTTCTCTGCAGGAAATAGACCTAAGCCTTATGGGAGTCTGATTGTGGATGCAAGCTTTTATGTTTCTCATTGTCTTGCTTTACTTTCCTCACCAGGCTGTATAATTTAGAAAACAAACGGATGCTGTCTGATCCCAACATAGAGTCAGAGTAAAGCGACCTCCATGACTGATAGTTAGTCGTGTTTCTCTGAAGGTCACCCTGTAACCCATTCTATTGTATCTACAGCTTATTTTAGCTTCTCTCAGGGGCTGTTGTCATGGCAACCTGACATGATTGACTTGGGGAGGGAGGTGGGGGAGAAAATTATATGCCTATCTTAAAAATGGCTTCAGATGTTGCACGCCTACGTCAAGGTATCTGCGATTGTTTTTTTTTTGTTTTTTTTGAACAACGGGAATCAACGATGGAGGCAAAAGTGCGAGACTGCAACCTACTGTTCTTACGCATCAAGAGTCCCAAAGTCTTGGCTAATCTTCTCTATGGTTTAATTTCCCATGGTTCCACATTGATTTGTCCCATTTAAACTAGAGTTCTGTTCAGTTCAACTCATTGGATAGTCTCCCAGTCATTGACTGCTATGTTTCTCCTAGAGTTCCCCCCTCATCACGCTCTTGAAGGAATAAATAAACAATAATGACTTCATTAGCATAATTTTAGACCGTCGACGGGAGGTCACCTGTCATTCTGTTGTTTTCCTCCTCCTTCTCTTTCCTCAGCCTCCAGCAAACCCCACGTTGGTTGGCATTTGCATAGCGTGGAGCCGGTGTGCAGCTGTCAGTGTGTGGAAGAGCATGTGTGGTTGTATGTTGAAAGCAGGGGGCTCGGGTACTTCCTGTCAGTGTGTGCTTGCTGGGACACAGTATTCGAAAGAGTGTGCATGTGTGCAGTCAGAGTCCAGGGTGAGCGCGTCAGGTTTTATTTGTGTGTGTAGTGTGTCTGTGTGTTCATGTCTGCTCCCAGGGAGAGGCGGTGTTGTGTGTTAGGTCGTGGCATGCACAGAACAGAAGCCTGGCATTTGAGAACATGCTCCTCGCAGAGAACTCCACGGCCCCTGCCTGGTCCTTCCTGAACTAATGAAGTCGTCTCTGACATTTTCAGACATGAAAAGAAAAGCTCTTTGACTTTCTTTGCGGTCACACTAATGAGGGTTATGTCAGGAGGTGACCTCAGCCTACTTTGCCTCAGAGGATGTGCTGCAGATGCCTCACAGCAATGTTTTTTTCAAGGGAAAGATGTGTTTGCATGTGTGTGCTTTCATTATATTGCATACAATTATAGGTGGTGTTTTTAAAACCAATGAATTTGATTAAAAATAGAGCACTGAGAACACTGGAAAAGCTCATTTCTCTGTGTTTCCACTCCAGTCCCATTTTATGGTGTTGCGGAAAAGCTGTTTTAAAATGCTAAATAGTGTGCTTATTGTTCAGCTTCCCTTGAGGCAGGCTACTTAAAACTATTTATGACAAACCATGCATTAAACATCATTCCCTTCTATTGAATGACTGCCTCTTGACACTGCAGGGTGGATCCCAGTAAACATTTCAGAAAGGTATCACTCTTTGGTTTAATCAAGTCTTGGGTGGTTAATGGTAAATGTGTGAAAGTTTCTCTCAGCGTGCGGTGTCGAATCCAGACGGGTTCCGAGGGGAAAGCTAACATTTCTGAAACCAAGCCCAGTGTTGCCCAGGAGAGCGGCTGCTGAGGAGAAGGAGGGACATGTTACACCCCTGCAGTGAAGAGATAACTCAAGCTGTGGATGAGTGCCAGTACACACACACTATATGTTACACAGTGAAGGTGGAAGATAAGCTTAACTATATATTTTAAAAGAGAAGTGTGCAATTTCTACACCTCTAGCACCACCAAACTGTATTGAAAAAAAACTAAACTATTATATGTATGTATGTATTTATACATAGATGGACGGACAACTTTTCCTAAACTTCAGAACAGTGTTCTACAACAACAGTGAAATTTCATCCATTCAAAAATTCAAATCTCACTCTGTTTGTTTTTATGATTTTCTGATATTCCATACTGTCCAGCCAGTCACAACTCTGAGTTGATGCATTTACCTCACATGTTGTGGTGTTGCTTCAACATTCCTTTTCAAATCGAAGAGCAAACGTTTTCAGGTATGTGCAATCGGTATATACCTGTTTAACAATACATAACTTAAAATATGTTTCAGGGTTTCATGACCCTTTAACTCTGTCCTTATTCTTACTTCATATCTGTCTTGGTTTTTGTTTTTCTATTGAATAACGTGTACGATGCATCATGTTACTGATTTTGTAGTTTTCAACAAATTCTTATTGACACTTTCAAGACTATCATCATTTTTGTAAATTTGACAAACCCTCACCTGTATGTTGGCCAGTTAGAAAACATCGGTGAAAAATGTGTAAAATTACAGAAAACAAAACATTTTATATTTGCAAAGCATAAAAAAATTATGTACTAGGATTTTTCATTTTTCAGGATCAGTGCAGCACTGGTTCTAATGGGTCTTATATTTGAGCCTTGAGAGACTTTATTTTTTAACCTCTCCTGATCTTGATTTGTGTATTAGCTCTTGCTGACCTGAAGTACTTTAGTGTTTGTGTGGTGCTGACATAGGTCCAGATATGGGGTCAGCTTTTCACATCTATGCTCCAGAAGAGCTGATGAACTGTGACTCCCTACACAGAGACGCAGCTCTACATTTGGGCATGCCTTATCCTGCTCTGCCCCCCGTGGTGTTCGCTCCATCCATGATCTCTCAGTCAAATGAACCACTGCCTTCCTAATGGTGCTGCACTGAAGTGGTTTAAGATGTTGTTTGTTTAATCCACATTCACGGGCACTTTAGTCTGGGAAAAAGAGATAGTTGAAGGTCTTGATGTGATCACTGAGGCAGTAAGTTAGTGATGGCACATTGCAGAGATCTCGAAGCAGACTTCAATTCATGTTTGCTTGAGCTGTGAGGATTGTGTAAAGTACATTTCTCTGCTTTTTGCTCTAATTAGATGAGTTCCAGTGCACACACTATATGTTACACAGTGAAGGTGGAAGATAACCTTAACTATATATTTTAAAAGAGAAGTGTGCAATTTCTACACCTCTAGCACCACCAAACTGTATTGAAAAAAAAAAAAACTATTATATGTATGTATGTATTTACAGGTGCATCTCAATAAATTAGAATGTCGTGGAAAAGTTAATTTATTTCAGTAATTCAACTCAAATTGTGAAACTTGTGTATTAAATAAATTCAATGCACACAGACTGAAGTAGTTTAAGTCTTTGGTTCTTTTAATTGTGATGATTTTGGCTCACATTTACAATAACAAAATTGGCTCACATAACAAAAACCCACCAATTCACTATCTCAACAAATTAGAATATGCTGACATGCCAATCAGCTAATCAACTCAAAACACCTGCAAATGTTTCCTGAGCC